AAGAGCGGTGCTGCATTTGAATATGTGTACAGTCTAAAGTGGCAGGAAAGGTAGAGCAGTGCTGAGACACCAGGACATCTGGCTGAGTTTTACCAGTTCGAACCACTGCCTGTTGGTCTTCAGACAACATACGGACAGAAGGCTGACTCTCAGAGTCCTTGATGTCCGGGTCACTGCTGACTTTCCCTGTGGAGAGCGAGGACTCTAAAGCACTGGAATCCTCTTTGGTCATAGGCAGAACTATTCAAAGGAGGAAACGAGCCAGAGTTATCATCGGTTAGCTATTCCTTGGCTCAGACACACATTTGTTTTCTCCCAGCGAGTGCTAATTATTTGAAGATGACCTTGTCTTTACCCCAAATGACTCATCTTTTTCCCTTTATTTTTTTGGGCTCACAAATCTAAACAATTCCTGTTTACTGTACTTGAATGATACAAAATTAAACATAAAACAGGCCTACAGTAACACGAAAAAAAACGGAAGGAACTCACATTGGGAATTCTCATAGCTGACTGAATCTTCGGAGTCTTTCTTAACACTCCTGACTTTTGTTCCTAGAAAGATGGTGGCTGATTTATTTTTCTGTGTGTAAAATGTTAGTATTTCCTCCAGATCATTTTCACTGTTAAAAAAAGACAGGAGATGAATGTGTATAGCAGACTGAGACCACTCTGTAGAATACATACAGTAAAAAGGATGTTAAAGAGTCGAACCATGAACAGTGGTTAAGTGGGCTTCACTAACCTTGCTGATGTGATGTATTCCTGAAATACCAGGGGGTTAACACAAACCTCCTCTTTGCTATTCTCTTGTTTTTTCAACATATGTTCAGTTTCCTGAAAAGATAAGAACAATTAAGCAAATATTCTCAGCTGTTTCTAGATGAACTGCATAAAAAAACCCTCCTGTGTTAGCAACAACTCTAAGAACTGTAATTCTTTGGTAAAATCCGTGTCTGGGAATTGGTACCTTGTTGTAACAATGGATAAACTCCCCTAACTGGTTGGAGAGGATGCGTCTGCGGTCCTGCAGTGGTAACTGGCGACTGGGCAAAACCACCTTTATATTCTGTTGAAGGTTATGGGCTGCTCTTCTCAGGAAACGAATCACCAGCTCCTGTGCAGGCAAAAAACATACATGAGAAGCCTTTTATTGTTAGTTTTTAAAACTGCTGCATGTATTTTCTCCTTTTCAATGTCATTTAAAACACTCTGAAATTTATAGCCTAGAGATCAGTTGAGTTCACAATGATTTTCCTCAAAGGTTTGAGGTCAGTGGTGATGATATATGCCTTTATAATGCAGACTTTCCGATCAGGCTAATTTTCACAGACCACGTTTTTTCCTCTGTTTTCTCTGTGTGGCCACAAATGCCTCATACACATTCTAACTACAGCCATAATGAGTAATAGAATAATAATGAGGGGAAATATGCCATACATACACCGATTAACCATAACATTATGACCGCCTGCCTAATACAGTGCAGGCAGGAGTCAATGGTTAAGTGGGCTTAACACTCATGTCACTTTGCAGCTCACTGTGTGTCTTCTGTGAATCTGTTTGGTTCCATACAGTATTTATACTGTCAGGAAGGGCAAACATTTGTTGCCCATTCAGTGAAACACCTATGTAAAAGGACTGAAAACTGTGGTTGTGAGGACAAGTTATAGAGAATTATTTAGACTAATTCAATAGCTTTCCCACTCTAGGTGTGATATCACCACTATAGCCACTATGTTTCTCTTCATAGAGACCAATGTATTATTTTAACAAAGATTCAAACTAAATGGAAACTTTTGAAAAGCACAAATGAAATTTAAGAGCTTAATCTACAGTAGATCAACCTCATCATCAGTGAGTCTTGGGCGTCCATGACCCTGTTGCAGAGTCTTTGTTTGTCCTTCCGTAGACACTGTTAGTAGGTACTGACCACTGCAGACCAGGAACACCCAACAAGCTCTGCAGACTGGGAGATGCTCTGACCCAGTCGTCAGCAATTACAGTTTGGCCTTTGTCAAAGTCACTCAGATCCTTACGCTCCATTTTTCCTGCTTCCAACACATCAACTTCAAGCACTGAATGTTCACATGCTGCCTAATAAACCCCACACACTGACAGGTGCCACTCTAATGAGACAGTCGGTGTCATTGACTTCACCTGTCAGTGGTCAGAATGTTATGGCTGATTGGTGTATACTGTACATACTGTAGGAAGAAGACAATGCTACAGAGTAATCCACCCCTGTCCATGTATTAGGAAAAGGGGAATAAAAATGGTTATCACTGTACCATTTGATCATTGTCCTTGTCTGGCCAAGCTGGGATGGTGTTAGTTCTGCTCTCTGCTAACAGTCTTTGTTGGACTCTCTGCAGGTAAGAAGAAAAGGCCATTCGAGCCTGCACCTTACTGGAGACGGGAGGCAAAAGCAGAAGAGAGAGAGGGAAACCATCATGAACAACAAAGCTAAAGCAACAGAACGGAAAGACACAACAATAGACAGTAATTAAGATTATCCTCGAGGTATTCAGCCAGTGTGTTTGCAACTGGCAGTAAAAACTATTTTGTTGCTTTGGAATCTGTGATACTGTACATGTGTTACAACAGATAGGACAAGCAGTCTTAGTCATTCCATTTGGCTGACATACAGTAACATCAGGAAAAGAGTGAAATCAAAAACAGTTATGTATCATTTTCAGCCAACAGTTGTTGAAACACAATTTATCTTGTTCTGCACCAGTATCAAAATGATAAACTGTTGTCGTGGCCCAGGTGAACCCAGACAGAGTACTATCAGAACACTGTAGTAAAAAAAAAAAAAGCTGGCAAGCACAAACAGTGATATGCTGTGCTATAATTTACCAGCTTCATGCACAGCCCTGGCAAGCACTAAGGAATTTCTACAAACTCAGACTTGTTATTGTAATTCCTCCTCAAATTATAATTTCAAATCAAGACAAGGAGACTGCTGTCTTTGTCCCATGTAAGTACAGTAGTATTACAGCATATTGCTTGTCTTTTGTGTTTTTTTTTATTTACATCAAGAAATATATGAAATATTAAAATGCACTCATTGTCAGCTAATTTAGAAAGTATTTATGTTTTTAGTAAATTCCTTTTAGTTACAAGTGGACTGTTATTTTAGGAAGTATGATTTTAACTGGTGCTTCTAGTGCTCTTTCAGACTATTCTTGCAGACCATAGGGAGGGCATACAGTAGGTACACAAAAATAAAGAATGTTTAACATCATCTAGGCAAGGCAGGCCTGAATTTCTTTGTACCTCCATAAGTATTTACTCTACTATATAAGCATTTCTCCATCAATCCATCAAAGAGAACAGGATGGGAAAGTGAGAAAGAGGAAGATACAGTAAGAGCAGCAGTCAACTTGAGCTGCAGCCCACAACACTGACCTAAGGTCCCAGCCCTGCTGAAGGATGCTTAGCAGGTTGACTCTGGGCTTGTGCGTGGCTACCTCTGAGCTGGACGGAGCCTCACTATGGCACCACTCCAATGGTGTGGCCACTTGTTTCCTTTGCTCTGCTACCAACGCCTTGCGTAAGACTGGCTCAAGAACTTGTTTCACCTCCTCTTTTTCCTCCTGAGCACGCTCCTCTCGCTTCTGAATGCTGCCGCTCTCAGTCAAGGACGCCTTGGATTCCCTTCCTGAGGTGTGCAGCATAGCAAGGAAAGACAAATGTCGGTTGCATCACTGGCATTTTACACTCAAAACAGGCTTTTTATTGTTGTTGCAATTAAATGAACTCATTGAGAGGCATATTTGGCCAGCCTTACCATGGCAGAGGGGAGTGATTTATTGAAACCAAAAGTGTATTAAGCGTTGTGATGTTGTCCCTCTTAGCTACATTCTGCTCAGTTTTACAAAAAAGCAATTTCCTGAACTGAGGCGTGACACATCAGGCCTACCCAGTTTTTTCTTCCCTGCAGAAGAGCGATGAGTCAAGTGCCGCTGTTTCCTCTTACGTGCCTCCAGAGACAACAGCTTCCTCTCATACTGGACAACATGACAGCCATGGACGGCATCCACCTGCAGCTGCACATTCCCATTCACATTCCTGAGAGACAAGAACAAGACACGTCAACACGATGGTAATAAAGACAACAATGATGATTTTACATATATCATTAACAATAACAAAGTGTTTTGCAGAGCAATAGTTAGAGCAAAAATCTTAAATAATGTCAGGTCTAAAAAAAAGATTAGTATGGTTGAGTAGCTTGTCCAAAGCTTGATGTAACAGAAAGTGATGGTCCAAAAGAGAGAGGGGATAAACAGCAGATAACAGCAACAGAGGTCTTGGAGCAACAGCCGTGTCACTAGCGTGGCTGTTTACCCAGTATGGAAAAATCATAGATGGGCTTAGTTGGGGGCCAAATCTCCAGACAAAGTTGTTCAGTAGTCAAAGCTAAAAGCTCACAGTGATTCAAATAACATAAATACATGTTGTATTAAAATAAGAAAATTTAGTTCAATAAAAAGGCACAGTTCACCTACAGTATAACTGTCTTTCCCTTCCTGCCCCCAGAACGACACCACAGTGCCACATAGACCTTGGGCATGCACTGGAAAAGTTGACTGTGCTTCATCTTTTCAGCTGTTCCTCTCACCTATCCAATTGACAAACTAAACAAATACCATGCCAGAATCCCACGTTTCCACAAACTGATGGAGAGACTTATTCCCCCATCCTGACCACAATGGAAATACTTACCTTCCATGGAAAAGTCTGTTTGCCAGCATGTAGTTCATTGATGTCTTCGACTCCAGATATCCACTGAGAGAAAAAGAATTTAAGCAAATTACAATAATCATGAAGGCAGGGGTGCAATGAGCCTCAACCTCCTTATTTTGTGGCAAATGTGTTAAAATTAGGCTTCTCTTACATAGGATGCAGCTGCTATTAAAGGCACCAGTAATTTCCCCAACCGCTCAATAAAATGCTTTTAAAAATGCCACAAAAGCCCTACTGCTAAGAAAAACACAGGTCTAATCAAGCAACAAATCATCATATAAGAACATGAACTGTAAGCCCAAAAATGGATTTCCTCTCTAATAGGGGCTTCAGTGCCATTTCAACAAAATGGCATTTCTTGAAACATAATACAGTGTTTAAAAAATACCAACCCTGTAGCTACATCTTACTCTAGTGGTTCAATTAGTGACAGTCAATCACGATCTGGCTTTAGACATTCATCGCATTTAAAAGTCCCTCTTATCTTAAGATAGTATCAGTAATAAATAACACAGGCGACAAAGACTCCATGGGCATAACTTGTAATTTGTCTGTTCTTGGCTCATCTCACCCATAGAGTTCCCATGTTTCTGCTGTGGGAAAGATCCTAATGAAGCCTCCTCGTCTCTCATCCTCTTCCTGTATCCTCCTCAGTACTTTGATCTATATTAGTGACAGAAGCAAAATAACAATTTCTGAAAAGGTTCAGTTACCAAACCTGCCTTTTTTTTTAAGAATATCACTCACAATCTGTCACACACTACCATTATTACGACCATACCTCATCAGCTCTCAGGTTCAGAGTGCTGTTTCCTGGGCGTTGTTTAGTACTTTGCTTGTCTTTTGACGCCTCTGTTTCTGAGTTACTGGCTGATGCAGGGCTCTGGCGCTACAGGGCACAAGAGTAGAGACACAGTCATGCAATACTGATACTAAACCTATTCAGCCACTCATCTAAAAACTGGCTTCATAATAGGAAGTCATTTAATTAGGTCCAAAGACTATAAAAAGTAGTCTTAAATTTGTTACTGACAACCATTCAGAAATATAATTCTCATTTATAAATGGAAAATGTGCAAACTACACCTTGAAAACAAACACATAAACAGAGCATTTTTGTTATGCATTGTCATTCCTGGCTGCTCATCCCCTGCTGCATGAACTACAAGGCTGTGATTGACAACCTTGGCGTGCAGCTTGAAACTTGGGCCAGACAGCTGGGCGCAACCTCACAAGATTTCATAGAGAATTTGTCATCTGCATAGCAGGAGGATTATATTTAATTTGTCTGATGCGGCTGGGGGGGTACAAAGGCAGCCAAAAAGTGACATGGCCTAATCCATCTGAAAAAGTTTCAAATGTCGCCCCTAATTAGAGTGAAAGGAGAGCACAGGTTCTCTGAGAGCCCCTGGAGCTCTTCAGCAACCACTGTGACAGCCCTGGCTTTAGTGTTATTTTAGATATGTCTGTACAGCAAACTTCATGAAATATTGGGTGAAATGGTGCATGCAGCATCTGAAGCACTTTCTTACATAGGCTGCTTTGCTAATGTAATGAGAATTCTATTAATTTACAGCAACACGGATCAATAAAAGGCAACTGTCCAGCACTATGAAAAACAGAAAAGCCACATAATCAAATAAGTAAAAGGCAGTAAGCAATTTCTTACCAGTAATGTACGTAAGAGGCATCAGGGAATTGCAAAAGGACAAGGCAAGAAAAGATTAATGTCTGAGTCAGAAGAAAACTTACCACTCTCCTGTGTGCAGTGGCTGTCGGTGCAGAAAGAGGTTTCTAAGAAGCAATGGGTCAAGACAGTGAGTTGTGATTCATCATAAAACTTTATGAAGCCATATAGAGAGAACATGCATACTACATAATCATGTAACAAAGAAACTTTGTTACTGTATGTCAAAATCGACCCTTGACACAATAAAGGTGGAGCAGAAATCGGTCTGATCCAGTAATCTCCCTCCAGCAGCTCCTGCGCCAAATCTGGGTGCAGTAGTCAAGTAGAAGGAGCCAAGTGCATTAGCTGCTGTGGCATCATTACTCAACAAGGCCTGGAGAGAGCATTACTCACTTGATTAGAAATGATAAAACAATAAGCCACAAAGAGTAGCGCTTGCAAACTGATGTCACTCATACACTGCAATTACATCAGCAGTTGTTTTGCATTACAGTGAATTTTCCATGAGCATAAGAGGAGAGCTCAATGGTAGTGGCAGGAATGTAGTGTAAGCAACAGAGAGAGCAAGGCAAGAACAGCAATGTTTCACTAGGAAGGGTGAATGGGGGCAACTCTTGGCTTAGTTCTTTGCTGTGTATGTGTGTCATTACCTGTGCTCTCTGTGCTGCCGGGTGCTTGAGGCCGGGGTCCAGGGTGACTCGGTCAGAGCGCGGCTGTCTCGAGTGGGGGTCCTGACAGACAAAGCCTGTGGGGATGCAAGGAGCCATAAAGGGGTTTACCAAGGTCTTAAAAATGTTACTCATTCCCATGACCTTCATACAGTATATTGCATCAGATCTTCAATGTTTCTGCAAGAAACTAAAGCAGAACAAGAGGCACAGAGGCAAAAGATTACATGTGATTCAACAATATGCTTAACTTCATCGTGCAAATTTAAAAATGTCATATTTGCTTTAATATACAGCATTTTCTGACAGGAAACGGAGAAACGTTTTGATAGAGTGGCTCACTGTTGCCCAATACAAACACAGCCCCCTGATGTAAACCACAGACTTCAGTTCCTTGTATGAAGGAACAGTTTGACGTTTTGGCAAATACATTTATTCACTTTCTAGATGAGAGTTAGATGAGAAGATTGATACCATTCTTACTGTAAATCTGACTATTAAATATGCAGCTGCAGTGAGCAGTTAGCTAGTTTAGCTTAGGATAAAGATTGGAAAAGGGGAAAAGGTATCAACACACACACACACACACACACACAGAAACGCTTAATAAACATTAAGTGAGGGCCCCCTTAAAAAGGAGGTCCCTAACCTCCAGGGACTTTTTTCTCCCTAGTTAGACAAAGGTTAAATTAAAACAATAAATAAATGTGTTCTCCTAGTGACACACTAGTTTGGATTTATAAAGCTCCAAACATTTACATTTCAGTATGCCTCAGTGGTAGCTGAGAAGGGTGAGGATAAATGTTTGTAATTCCCACCCTGTCATCCATCCATCCATTTTCTAAACCGCTTAGTCCCAAACGGGGTCACGGGGGGCTGGAGCCAATCCCAGCCAGCTGCGGGCGAAAGGCGGGGTACACCCTGGACAGGTCGCCAGCCCATCGCAGCCCACCCTGTCAATATGATGTAAAACTATGATGTTCTGTTTATTAATTCCCACCCTCCCTCAAAACTGACTAGTGGCAAAAGTGAAATGCTACGAGAATATGTTTATGTTTTTTTTCTTGCTGTCATACTTGAGCTGAATCAAGTCTATGGACAGCTTGGAGCTCGAGGCTGTTTGTTCTACCTCATCCAAGCCGTCAGGTAAGAATCAGGCCCCTGCATTGCTCTTGCCTAAACACTGCAATTATTACAAACATGGGCAGCATGGAGTTGACAGCTACACACAGGCAGAAAATGAATGCTAATGGAATGCTGTCATTATTTACAGGTCTGGGATGAAGCCCAAGTGTTATCAGTGGTACATAATAGATGTACTATGTTTTACATGCCACTGCTCATTTTCCCCAGACGCACAGTAACATCTCAGTCCAAAGATAACTGACAATTTAGGATTCTACTCTTTCACTTAATGAGCCGGAGGGTAGGGTTTCAAGCCAAAGCAAGGCTTAGGCTAAGACATGTATATATGCATGCATGCACGTGCGCACGCCCACACACAGACACAATAGCTATTCCTATAATATCACTGGCCTGAGAGCCCAGATTCACTGGTCAGACTGGTCAGTGAGTGCCAGTTTATATGGATGCCAGCTAGTCAGTGGGCATAATCAAGAGAAATGAAAGAATATGGTTATTATTAGTCTCTGTTTTTACTGCATGCACGTACAGTATATCTACAAGAACAAAGACAAGCTCTGTATATTGTGCTTGTCTATGTGGTAGTGGTTCGAGTATGGCATTCTTCTTGTTTAAACTTAAATATCACAGAATATTTAAAGCTCTTTTTAAGCATAAGAATAATTATGAAAGGTGGACACAAAACAAACAGACACATCTCATTCTCTGTTGTAAAAAAAGGTGTGTATCTCTGACTTGGGCCAGGAATTTTTTTTTAATGTCTGCATGATACAGATGACTGTCTCCATGAGCTGTTACAAAAATGCCCAACTAGCTTTGCATTTGGAGGGACACAGGTGAAGAAATTATAGTATAGAACATTTCATATTAGCTTCTCCAAAATTAACACTTCCATCCATCCATCCACTTCCAACACATCCTAATTTCACAATTAATAATGTTTGAATTGTGACACAAGAAAAATGTTTTTTTTCATTCAGATCTTAAGGGTTAGTAAATCCCTAATAATAATATTTTACTGTTACTTTTAATGTGCTGTATTTATCAAATGTTTTTCCTTCTCTGTGATTATACAGTGAATCATAATTTAACTTCTTATGTGGTAAATTAAGAGGACATGTTTGGCTTCTTCTGTTTTTAAATTTTTTAAGGTTTCTATTTTTTTTTTTTGCTCTACTTTATTTCATCATAGTATAATTTACAAGTGCAATGATTTAAACATTTAGTTATAAGGAAGGTCTATATACAATAAGTCATGCAAAACTTTAGAATGCAGTGGAAGTTGTGTTTAGTCACTGTTTCAGCATGCACTCACCCACAAGTGAAAACATGTCTGCAATCATACTGGCCTTTATCTTCAGATCCAAGGGTGCATCGCTGTAAATAAGTGGATGTTACAAAATGAAACAAAGTAAAATCGGGAAAAACATTACAATACACATCCACAAAAAACAAGTCAGCTGGCATAGGAGGACACATATTTGTTGTCTGACCTTGAGTAAACTAAATAAACCGAATAAAGACTTCTGTAGGAGATACGGCATTTTTGCTAGGGTGTCTGCACAAAATAGGAGTGAGTAACATTTTTGTTCAGTGCAGTATATTTTATTAACCTCTTGTCCTGGCTGCATATTCCAAGAAAACCCCTTGTTTTAGTTGGTAGGGTGAAAGAAATGTTTTTAGTAAGAGATTCTGCTAAATCAACAAATCAAATAAATGAGTCATTGTCACTCACCACGCCAAGGATGGAGAAAGATTCACCTCTAACAACCAGGGTTTCAGATTGGAATCAACGAGCACATCAAAACCATACAGTTCTACAGAGGGAAACACAAAATGAATCAAACGGCTTGTACCTCGCTCACTGAACATTAAGAGCCGATGGGTATCAAAAGTCACAAGTCAGAGTTTTATCATAACTCCATTATGTAGCATTTGGCAGCATGGTCTATCTCTTTCTGCCACTGATTTCATGAGTGTTACTTACCCAATCACTCAAGAGAGAAACATTCACCAAAGCCTGCCACTGAGGGCCCGGCTCAATTACATTAACCACTGTAAGTACATGCACATTTCATCTCAAGAGAAGTTGCTTATATAAGATGGCAGATAAAAAACAAAATATGTCTGTGAATATTTTCATACACACAGTCAATAATTTTCTCATGACTGGGAAGGTCAGTCACTGCATATTAACAAGAAGGATGGCGTTCTAATGGCTGCCAGGAAAAGCTTCACCCCCATCATAAAGTTCATATCTTGTCCAACTGAGGCAATTAAATATGAATTCCAGAAGCGAAAAGCTTAAAATGTGTTAGTGTGCCCCAAGTGGCAGAAGCCTGAGTTAGAAATATTTATGCTATATATAGTATTTATTTTGCTCCAGTAATAGCTCAGCACTGAGTGACATGATAAAAGCCCTTTACAACGTGGTCAGGAAGTTCCCTGTGTAAAAATTCATCCATTCTAGTCCAAGTTGCCCTCTTGTTTCACCGACTGATATATGGTTCACCACGACTGAGTAGGTCTACTGTATGTGCCCTAAAAAAAAGCGCTCACGCTGCTCTGGGGAGTGTCATCCAATAAGCCATCGACCCGCTGGCCCCAGCTACAGCGTGCTGGAAAACCACAGCATTTTACAGGGATAGGGCAAAACCCCACCATAGACCCAGAAGAAAAATCCTTTTAATAGTACTTCAAAAGAACGAAGTGTGTTGAGAATAGTCCAGGGGTGTTGGAGGTTTCAAAGCTGCCATCAGCAGCACTGTTTGTTCTAGCATCTCAGGTCAGTGCCAGTGTTAAATATACAAAAGCCAGCATGACTCTGAGCAATGGGTTTATATTACTTTCATATGAATAATACTGAACCATTTCAGTTTAACAGGATGAGTTAAAGTTATTAGGCTGTACATTCATTTATGTAGAGCAGGGTTCAAAGCTCACTGAGTTATCTGTTAAATAAAGAAGTAGAATGCACAAAACAATCAAAGATTAAAGTGCGGATATACACATTTTTGCAAGTGCTGGATCAAAAAAAAACAATATTCAGAAAAGTATTTTAAGACTTTCTTTCTTTCTATCCGAGGACAGATGTTATTTAACCTATAGGTGAGGGGTAATATGGTCCTGTCAGGGTGTTAATACTGATTGAAAACATCCATCCCCACTACGAGGTTACACATGTAACTGATAAAGTTATCCACATGCTATGAAAAGTTGCTTGCGTCATTGATGCTTGAATGAAAACGCTGTTACTGTTGAGTTGTGAGAAAATGTGATCAGCAGGCCCCTTCTGTGAGAAACCCATCTGTTATGGACAAATAGGCTTAAAGAGATGGAATTTAAGTTGTTTTTACAGGGTACTTGTTTGATTTAAATAAGGTTGGTCAGTTTATGTACTGTTATCTGTTATTTATTTATTTATTTATTTAAAATATTAAATTTTACTTCAGCAAATTACTTCACACACAATGAGCCAGTTTTTATGCACGACTGCTCGTGGGAGCAGTATATGTTACAAGATCATATTTATTGTAATTTACTGCTGTATGCAAAAGTGTACACTCTTAAAAAGCTACAAAAAGCAGATTGTGATACCTGCTGGGGGAAGTTAATCCACAATGGATTCTGTTTATTATATTTCACTGGGCTACTGTATATCATATGGGTTGGGAGTTCAAGTTATTTTAGCATCACTGATGTCCAAATTGGTATAACTGCTAACTGTGAACTTTTCAAGAAGGAACTGCACAAACTTTGCCACACCTCTCCTACAACATTAGCCAGGGATGGGCTGGACCTCCGCTGTTAAACCATGCTCACTTAAGCAGCGCACTAGGATTAGATTTTCCACTTGCAGGCTTATCCTATTCAATCCACTTAAAAAAAAAAAACGTACACACATAGAAAAGAAAGATAGAGAGCATGTCTGTGTGTCATAAAACATTATGCATTAGTCTTTTTTGAGCCTGCAGAGCCACCACAACAACAAGGAAAATTGAGGAGGTCTTAAGCCATCTCAACAGCCCCTGAGAAACAAACTCCATGTGTCACGCATTTTCCCCCAATTAGGAGCAGGCGCCGCTCCTACCCCATGAGCTTGCCGAGCCGCTCGACACGTTTGTTCGGGAGCCGCTCGACACGTTTGTTCTGCGGCTCGACCGCTGCCAGGGAAACTCTGTTAAACGTGTCTGCAAAGAACCCACAACAAGCATCACAGACAAGGAGAAGAGAGGCAGTGAACATCCACATCACACCCATCAAAGAGAAAGGGAGAGACAAAATGTGACAGAAAAGGCATAATGAAAAACCTTTTTTCTTTTATTACTCAATGGGCACTGCTGGAAACTTCACCACAAGACACAAACACAACAATTTCCCCACCCTGGCCATGCAGCCTGTTGGCCCACGTTACCAACAACAACATAAAGTGCTTCCTTCATGTGTGTTTTCTTTACGGGCGAGGACAAGTGAATTGCTCTTGCATCAATCTGACAAATTATTGCTGCTGTTTCTCTGCTACTGCAGGAATGACAGCAGAGCAGCTTGCAGCCGCACATAAAAACACTCAGAGGACAACAAGTAAAATGAATACAGTTAACACTGTATAGCCTTATTTTTACAGCTGGAGCCAATCCATTAATCATGCCTAAAAACTTCTTTTACAACGAATCCACGCTGTCATCATAGGGATACAAACACTGTGCTGCAGAGAAGTGTGGGAGTGTCTGACAAATGTAAAACAGGGAGAGTGGTTCACAGACAGGGGATCCAACCACACTCAGCACTTAATGAAGGACATTCAATGGAACACAGGACCAGTAAGTGGAATGTTTTGTGTGTAATAAAATAGGCCTTTGGCTTGGCTAATCAGATCTTAGTCAAAACATCTTGTAATCAGCATCCCTCAGCAAAAAGTATGTCCATTAATCACATAGCAGCGGTGAGGAGCTGCATGGGTGGCATTTTCTCTCCCCATACACACACACTTCTTACCAACGTAAAACAAAAACTGTTTCCCCTCTTTTCCATATGAGACATATACAGCAAGCTAAAAACGTTTGTTACAATATGTCTATTTAGATATACGGTGCAACTTGAACAAGAGGAAGAAATCCCATTTGAAAACAATAAATATTATATCAAAGTCATTCACAGACATTAAAAAGGCAGGGAACAATTTGCAGTAAATTAAGATTAGAATGTGCTTTATGGTCTAGCATGGCTCCCTTCCAGACAAGCCGGAGACTTTATAAAAACTTTAAACAATCGCTGCTTTTATTGGCACATTCACTGCACTCACACACGTGGTTGCTGCCATGCTTTCTGACGCTTTACCTGTTTACTATTACAGGAAGCTGCTGAGGCCCAGAATGAATGCCGGGTGTACTGTAGGTCACAGAAGGAGTGGGAACATAGTGCAAAAGAAGGAGAAAGGCAGCTGAAGCTGACAGCGACTGACTGAACATGACTCCTCGGTGGACTGGGTGTGAAGAGACAAGAAAAAGCTGCCAAAGATACTACACTGGACCCCTTAAAACTTAAATAGACCTGAGTGTTAGTAATACTCATGTTTTACACTGGTTCCTACATGTCTCTCTATTCATACTCTACACACATACTGACGCGCGCGTACACACACACACACACAAGGCCATTATCAACACAGAGAGGATGAGAGTAGTCCTCTGGAGCCCTCAGTGTCTGTCTTTGGAAACTTAATCCTGTATACAGACTATGAACGCTGTAAATGACTTGCTTGGGGCCATATGAAGACAAAAAAATTACACTAAATTCAATAGTAAACTGATACGGCTGAAGTAAGGTAACGGGCATGTTCACCCCAGACCACAGTGTATTATGTATCTTTGTAAAAGGACCTAATTGCTTTTGTATTACACAACGACTCTGCTGTAGTATCTACTGTAAATCTATACAGGTCTGTATAGGCGGACATGAAAAAATGACTTATTCACTTTTTACCCAGCACAGATGAACACGTCCTTAAAGCTATGTGTCGTTACTATATTGTTAAACACTTCATTTTAAATCCAGTGTAGATAGACAACATATGAATTAGTCGTTTAGTCATCCTGTAACACACATTCTGCACAATGAAGGATAACACTGCATGTACAACACAACAGATCTAGGCACTTGTGTAGAGTCATCAACAGGCCTGAGAGATTATGAAATTTCTGTGGTATCACTGAATATCCCATAGAGCATTTCTGTATCTAGGATACAGAGTTGTGTATAAACAAAAATCTAAAATACAGATTTCATTGAAAGAAACAATGAGAATCGAAGGAAACTTGTTTTTCCATTCCTGTTTTCCACTCTCACACTATAGATACTGTATGTGTCATCTGGTTGTTTATTTGTGTCTCTCGGGTGTTATGAGAGCCAGGTCTGGGCTTGGTAGGGCACATATCCCTGTAAATACCTGCACGGTCAACATTCATACCCTGGGTAAATGTAGTTTATGACTGTAGCAGTGATGTTTGGGGTGAGGATAGCATCTTTATGCAGGTGACTGTCAGATGGTGCGAGTGCCAGTGCAGCCCAAACAACCACGAATCGGGTTGTTATGTCTACAGAAGCCCATCACAATTGCAAAGCCCTTAATGTTTCTAACATCTCAGAGGTGAAAGAGAGTATGAGCAGCAGAACAAGAGAAAAGCAAAGGGGGGAAAAGCAATCCCGAGGGAGGCTCGGCCAACATGCTCGCCTTCAGATCCCAAATCTCAGAGAGACTGGCAGACACAGAGAAAGTGCGCAGACAATTAGTGCCAACACTAACATGGGTAATGGCTCCGAAATGGAGTTCACACGAGCCCAGTGCTAGGGCAGGAGCAGCCAAGAAAACAGTCAGCCTAAATCAAGCAGATCTGAATAGCAACAGACAGGAGGAAGTAAATTCCTGCTTCAGTCAACAGGCTCTCCACGATCCAGCAGCCAGTCAGAGGGCAGCAACAGGCAGGAAGGCTCCACACTGGAGAATGACCGTCTACAACCTTAGCATGGCTCAGTGGAGAAACAGCATGGAGGAACTGCTGGACAATGAATCTGAAACTGAGGGATGTGAGGGGTGTGGTAGTGTGTGTGACTAAGTATTTATGAGTGTATCTGCACTGTGAGCAAAAAAGGGAATCTGTTCAGAGAGAACATGCCATTCAAAGGAAACTCTTGTGAAGCTGCAGTTCTAGAGTTTCACTTTGTTGCCCTGAACAGCTAGTGTACAGTATACCACACACCCATCAGCATTTTCTTCTACTAGATGTAAATGTCTACCTTTGGTGGACTACATTTGTTTTCTTATTGTCAAAAAAAATTAAGAAGAATACAAAATAATTACCAAAGCAGTTTGTCTTGTGGGGAACAAACATCTCGCAGGCAGCAGCTATCTGTAGCTGAGCACTTAAAACAGCTTTGACGATGAGGTCCTCTACCTGTCTCATCAGCACTGAAACAGACAAAAAGGAAAGAAATATGAGTTAGCGGATGTTGTACAGTCTTGCTTTTCTGGAATTTCCATGTTTTAATTCATTGATAGACTTTTGTAGACTGATGGATAAAAAGGAGCAGAGTTTGAGAAGTAAACTACAAACTGAATACATTTTACTTCTATCATCTGTGTGTGGATATTAAAACCAAATGGAAAAGGTGAAGGTTTGACTCACATGTGGTGTCCTTCCCCTCCTGCTTCAAATACCTCAACACTGCACTCATACTCCACTTGTTCCCATAATCCTCAACTTCAGGGTCATCACAACTGAAAAGGAAGAAATGTGTTTCAAATGCCCCAGTTATAATAAATGGATGAGTCAATCGAGCTTTTCATAATAGCTCCATATTCTGTGTACGTATGTAGATTACTAATGAGGCCTTACCTGACATAGTCACTGCTCTTTTTGTTCACACTGTAGTTAGTGAGATGCATGAATGTGTTCTTAATGTTCTTTGAAGTCCGGTCATACCTGACTGTGGCAAATCTTCAGACAGGCATTGTTTATTAGTACAAGAGAAGAAAAAAATAACCCGTCATCCAAAAATTTCACATCATATCTATCTGCCATAATGAACACATCCATAATGCTGACATTTGACTGGATAATAGAGGCAGTATGGGCGGAGATTAGTTTCTGGCAGCGTTTAAAAGGAGTGGATGCCACATGTGCAATAATGAGAATTCCTTGGCATGCACTGTGCACCTGAATACCAAGACAACCCAAAGGAATGTCAAGAGATAAAAGTGGGATTCTGAATTTGTCCATGATTTATTACTCTTAGTTGATAACCAAGCCAGCAAACAAGAGGGTGGCGACACTCTGATTCCAGCACATACCTCTATCAGAGCAAAGCAAAGAGACAGTCATGCTATAAATCATCTACCCTCTCCAGACCTACCTGCCTGATGCTAAACCCCCCACACCCCCACCGCACTCTGCTATCTTCAGGCCTTGTGTTTATTTCTTGCCCTCTGTGGCCATTGTTGTTAAAATCCGCAATGCACTTCTTCCATGCCCCCGAGGATGCAAGGTTATAAGACGCGTTTTCAAAACCAGTATGGCTCATTTCAAAGATAGACCATGGAGGTTCCCTGTGCAGGTCCAACCCAGGACGGGAGTGGACCTGTGAGACCCAAGAGCTGTGGTGGAAAGTAACTAAGTACATGTACTCAAGTACTGTATTTAAATACATTTTTGAGGTATCTGTACTTTACACATAATGCATCAGCATTATCAGTACGAGAAAGAATGAGGCAAAACCAGGGTTAACATCGGTTTGTCTTATCGGAGATGGAGGGCACTAAAAGAATCCAAAGGACTAAATTTTGAGTAGCTAATGTGTATATGTCAGCTTCATTAGCATGCTAATGTTAGCATTTCAATTTTGTACCTTTATATTGAATTATTCTGGTTGTACTTCGGAGTCATTCCAAATGACTGCAACATTAGTGTTCTGTTGTCCAATTAGCAGAAACCAACAAATTTTCCTGGATTAGAAAATGAAGTAATTTAGCTAATTTTTCTAAGCTTTGGTCCACTTTATACAGACATAACACTGCAGTACAGTAGCATTTTAGTGAGAAGCTGTGAAAATTTACACCATCAGCACAACTACAGAAGTGGGGAGTTTGTTCAACTATCAAAAACGTAACATGAAATTTCTCGTTTTTCACATAAAATTGACGGTTATGTGTGTCAATTATGTAACATTGAACGCGATGCAATAGTGGCTGGAACATTTGCTTGTGTTACTGCAGATACATCCACTACAAACAACGTTAGACATACGTATGTATATCACTAAAATGTAAGCCTCTTTATTTGACATTGTGTCACTGCTATGCCGTTGAAAACCACGGGCTCTATATTCTGTGTAGACTAGTTCTGGAGCCAGTTATTACTGCTGCGCTACCTGACTGCTACAACTGTCTCTGGCTGGCGTGATCACATATGACGTAGTTTCAGAGGCAGGGCGGGAGCAGCAAAGAGGAGGGGATACTGCTTGAGTTTGTTTTGACTCTCACTTGGCTCTTAACAGGAGAAGCAGCTTTAAAGTACGTGGTGAAACAATCCTTTAACACAGCAGCATGTTCTTGGTTTAGGTTCGATGGTTCTGACACTCTATGCCATCCCTGTCTTGTAATTCTTAAATATTAAGTCCTTTTTTTCTTACAAAAAACAACTTTCATTTGTTTTGAACCCCTTCTCTAGTCTGATTATGCAGGCCATCAACAGACAATCATATTTAGAGTAAGAAATTAAATAGCCATATCCAGTAAATACAGAGCCATTAAAGTAATCATAACATATGATCTTTGAACTATGACTCAATCAGCAACAACTGATGAGCACATCCTGTAAATGGAACAATAGCAAGCTTTGTTAAAAGTCACTACCACTACACACACTGCACGGCCGCTGGTCTGGAAAGTTTAGGCTGCCCTCTAGGGGGTCCTGACAGAACATCAGTGCTGGAGCTTAGCGTAACCAGGCAGTAGCTACATCACAGTGCTGAAAAACTGCCATAGGCTTATGTAGACACATGCTCAATTACTCATACAGCAGACATCCCTCACTATTAAAACTGCAGATTGGTTACATGCTTTGCTCAATACTGATTATTATTATTGATTACTTTATCAAAACTCCAAAATGTAGCTTTGAGCCAGCATCTCACCTGCAAAATGAAAACAAACTACCTTTTATTTTCCACTGTTTAACCATTATAAAGTAAGCATAGTGTTTTTACTCTATAAAATGTTGCTGTATGTTTTATGCTTTTTGTCATGTGCTACATAAAACATATGTTTCAGAGTAAAACTAAAATATACAAAAATAAACTTTAGTATATACAGAGAAAATGTGTAGGACACTATTTAGAGCATCTACTGCACATAGTATATAGAACAATGCTAGTTTGCCTGGTCCTGTGTATTTGGCAGCAGGTTGTCATCCACATCTCATCGTGCATTTCAGCTGGGAAACACTGTGTGACTCAACACTGGCAGTAATACAGGACAAGAGCAGGCAAATGCACAAAAACCAACTATAAATATAAAACAGGTTGAGCCTGGGTGAGGTTAAGATTGATGAGATTAATTTTACCAACAGATGTACAGAGGTCTATGTTTTCACTAGTTTGATGAAATTTTGTGAACAAGAAGCCACTGGCCCAAAGACCTTTATGACTAGGTTTGGGGGGGTGAAAGACTTCAAACTGTACTGGACGAATGAACTGTTCTTCCACAAGATATTCCTTCATTTGGTGTTTTGATGATGGTGGTGGAGAGCGCTGTCCAAAATCTACTATACCTGTTCAACTGTTCCATTACATAAATGCCCTATGGGTGGGGTAACTGTCATCCTGGAGGAGACCACTCATTTATTCAGGATTTCTTTTAATCTGCCATTTGACTGTATTCAAATGCTGATGGAGGCCTCCAAATTCCCAAGCATTTGGATGTAAGTGCTATTATGACAGAAGTTGAGCCAAAAAGTGGACAGTGTATTGTCAGATAATACTTATCCCAATAATGACACTGACAATGAAAAAACCCACATATGCTTACCTAGCCAGACCCTCCTCATACACATAGATGAGTAGTGGATCGTACGATGTTATCAACACATACAACCGCATGTCAAACTTAAACTCTGTAAATAAGAAATTAAAGTAAGTCATACAGATTTTTCAGTTCAAAAGTAAAACTGTGTCTCCAACAACTCACCATCAATTAGGAGTGGGTTATTAATATAGCGAGACACCAAGGTGTTTTCATCCATCGAGATCTGATTTGGCTGCAGATGACAGAAAAAGACAAGATAATGAGCACACAAAGAAAAGGTTGCAGAAAGCATTTTGTCATTTTAACAAGTGCTACAAGTCCATTCATACAGAACAGCACTAAATGTTGAATTCTTTAGAGATGACATGACGTGATGTGAAGCTTCAAATAATCAGATCCAGTAAAGTTACTGCAACAACAGCAGGTCAACCTTCAATAGCAGGCTATAAAAACATAATCTGGCTGTGGGAGATGGGTCATTTATGAGGTTGAAATGTGTTGCAGGTGGTGAGGTTGAAAAAAGAAGGGAAGGGGGGTAGGGGCGGCGTAACCTCAGTGCTGGCTTCAGTTCAGAGAAAATCCAAACCAAAAAAATGAACGTATTTCTTTCCCCTCTCCAAATATCGCTGACATTCTTTCCACTGTTTCATAAAAATGCCTGAGAAGAACTTGAAAATATGTGATTTACTCCACAAAGTTTATTAATGCCTGAAATTCTGTTTGATACTTATTTCGAACACAGCTGTATCTGTAAACGCCCACACGCACAAATAACATCTGGCCAACTGACTGCTCTGTCAGTTCACACAGATTTTTTTTTAAGTCAGAGAGCTTACTGTTAACTCCCTCTAGATTGTCCATGTATGCGAATCTATTCTTATACATTAATAAGAAGGAACTTTTGACACACAAACAGAAAAGCTGAGTGACACTGTCAGTAAGATCTGATTATCTGTATCCCCTGACTCCACTTTGTGCTAACTTATGCTGTCTGCTCACAGCCATCCTACAGAGTGATATCCATCTTCCTATGTAATTTTTGGCATGAAAGCAAATGAGCTTATTTCCCAAAATGGCAAACTATTCTTACACATACAGCTTTCACATGCAATGCTGAGGCAGAACCTACAGTTTCTGTCCCATGTGCATGCACACATAAACAAAGGCAAAGAAGGTGCTGTTTCAGTTTCTCTCCTTTGTTGCTGTTTGACTCACTATAAATACAAGTTACAAATAAAGAAGCATAAAACAAAAATCATAATTTTTAAGAGAAGTTTCCCTGTGTCGACAAATACACGTTATAAACACCAACGTGAACTACAGGTTTATTCTGGGTCACCACGTTAGTGTGAACGGGGTAATAGAGCAGTGGTTCCCAACCTAGGGGTCAAGACCCCCAAAAAAAGAGTTCAATGTAAATCTGAGGGGTCACATAAGATATAAGGGATAAATTATGTCTGAGCTCAGAGGTTCGTTCTTGACCTCGGATATAAAACCATGTTACAACAACAACAAAAAAAAAAGAAAACATTTGAGAGCACTCAAGAATAAAATATAAAACATTTTTCATTGTGCAGAGCTTTCAGCCCCATCTCTTGGCCTTCATCAGTGCTTGAAAGCCAGCTGATGACGGGCCAGAGTAAAAAAATAATCATGAATGTATTATGTATTACTGATTGTAAAAGACAATTTTCAAGCAAAAATTCCAAACATTATCTGAATCCAGCTTCTTAAATTTGCTGCTTTTGCCTATTTTATATTACAGTAAACTGAATATATTTGGATTTAGAGTTGCATATAACAAATCAATTTAAAAACAGCATCTTGTGGCTTTGGAAAGTCATTTTTGTTCATATTTTTGAAGTTTAATAGGACAAACAACAATTCAATTTCTTGAATATATCAAATCAAACACTCCTAGAAGAAAAAAAAACATCTTTTGATTAAACTACTTACAACATGTACCTACACTGAGGACATAAGCTGTGAGGAGAGGCCACAAGTGTCTATGTATTAGTCAAAACTCCAGGGGATAAAATCACTCACATTGCTGACCAAGTAGATGCCCCGCCCTCTTGAAGATGCTACTGGTTTAATAATCCATAGGCCCTTGTCCTTGGCAAAACAATCTGAGATTAGGCAAGAAAAGAACAAAATGATTTACTGTGTGTATGTTTAAAATGGGTGATGGTTAAATAAAACACCATAAACAAAGCTTAGCTTAAACTGACAAGATGTAACAAGAGGTATCTTACTGCAGAATTCTGGGTACTCAGATGGAAGCACAAAGGTCTGAGGAACAATATGGAAGTACTTGAAGCCATGAGTCTGCTGCATTCGCTGGATGTTTTTATAGAGACGGTCTTTGCGCGTCAGTTCGTATGACCTGGAAATGAGCAGAGCCTCCAGTTTAAAACACTCTAGCGCCACAGCTTTGATACTGACAGAACAAAAGATATATGAATACAGAACACCCTCTGCCTGACAGTATGATTCATTTCATGTTTCAGACTGGCACCGGTCCAAACTAAAAGCGCTATGCAGTGGGAGCCAACGAACACACTGCCTGAACCAAAGGGCTTAAAATGGCTCAGTAGTGATATTTATAATACAGCAAACAGCGGCAATACACTCGTACACTGGAGCTCTCTACATGGATGTATGGCTTCTATTATACTTTACCTGGGGAAGTGGTTGACCTTCTGGAAGTCTTGCAGGCTGCGTAGTATATAAGGCTTGAGGTGAGATCCCGTCCACAGGAGATTAAAGTCATTATTGTTTGGATGAACCTGAGAAACAGAGAAACTAACTCACTTCAGTTGAAAGGCTCTAGACTTAGTACACAGTACTAACGAGCTTTGCCATGAACGATTAAGAAAAATAGATGTTCTAGAAACCAGGTGTATCAATTAATGTTCATACTGAGTTGGCTCTGCTCAGTTTCCAGTCATCAACAGCAGTATTATATTCTGATATCCATCCTGACAGCTCAGGTAGAGTACATCTAAGAACAAGATCACACTCCTGCCACTAACCTGAAGAACTGATACCTGGATTAAAGAATTTATCTCAGAAACAAGGCCAACTCAAAGATTTTCATCACCATCATATTAGTGTATCTGTTTTGTAATCCAACAGTCTGTTGGGAAGTGAAATATACATGACTATTCCTTCAGTGTCTAGTGGAGAGGCAGACGTTTGCAATAGAGGCTTATTAAAGCTTGGCTCTGCTTGAGGCTGTGGCAGACAGTCGTCTGCCTTTGATGATGGGTTAGCGCAAAGTCAAAAAGCACTGAAATGGAATAAAAAGGGAATTAATTGCAACTGTTTAGAAAGATCAATAATAGGGAATGTGTGCCCTTGTGAAACAGGGTTAATGCTCCTGAGGTAATTTTGTTTTTTTCATGGAAGCATTCCCAGGCTTGGACATCAACAATATCAGTCAAAAAAATCAGACTTCTTCTATCAGGGAACAAAAAGCATGTGCATAAATAACAATAAACAATTCATGTTTGCAAGATTTAGGCTAATCTTTTAAATTTACATGATTTAGTGAAGTACTTTACCTCATGGAATCCATGATTGGTGAGTATCCCTCGTACAAGGCGGCTCTCTGTGCGAACGATCTTGAAGGCCATGTGGTATCGCTCTAAGCAAAAGAAACACATTTGAGGACAATTAAGTGCTCTTATCACCAAACCTATTAAAAGCGCCAACATTTTATTACACTATTATACATTTGTACATTCATAGTCATATTATAAACTTCATCAAACTGTAGTGTACCTCCCACAGAGCAGATCCTCTCATCCTTTGAAACAACTGCTTCAGGGTAAAACAAGAAAACAGGGATTGACTTGCTAAGGCCGCTCCAGTTGATGCAAGGATGGTCTCTAGTGGACAAATAATTAGATGAGGCACAGAATCATTATTTAAGTGAGATGCAGATTTTGTAGATGTTTTCAAATTAGAGACCACCTACATTTTAAGTATCTGTGGAAATAAACAGCACAGAGAGAGTAAAACCTGAGAGAGATGCACTCTGGTGTTAATTTCACTGACCAAAATCTTTGGCGTTCATTCACGGATGATGTGACCTTGTATATACAGACAGCTTACCTAACGCTAACGGAATGCATCCTGACATGGTGTTTACTTCAGTCAGGCAGACAGAGACAGAGCCACACACATTTTCCCGAGGTGCTGGCCAATAACAATCCTGTGGACTCTTCTAAAAAATACATCTCTAAAACTGCAGACCATCAGATAGCACCATACGCAGCCTGATTATCAGGGGCTAAAAATAAGGTAAGGTGATGGAGTACATCTCAGTCAGGCATGGATGGTTTTGATAAGGGAGATGGCTTAAATATCCAGTTATGTCAGACAACACTGCAGATATACTTCCTACTGGGATGGCTTAGTTGAAGGCCATTAAACAAGGCATTTTGATAACATTTAAGCCTATTGTTTATTATGAACATGAGCCATATATTTACACAGCCCAGCTGATGATGTAGAGTTATGTGGCTCCTTCCCTTGACATATAGTATAAGCTTCATACTGTACATGCATTGTTGTCTGCATGCTTCGTGCAAATGCCTGTATTGCTATACTTTGTTGTCCTTTATATTATGTTGTATTGTCTGTTTCTGTAGTAAACATTAACTGACTAATTCTAGCACTTCTGCTTCACATTAATGTAAATTATTGTCAACTGCTCCTGATAAAGTGAAGATATGTATCATTTAAGTCAAAAATAAGTGGAAAATTTCAAACTGGCTGAAATAAGGTGTGTTCAAATGGGAAAGGTCATAAAGCACCGGTAAAACAATATTCCATAACAAAAAAAATCTGTTGCTCTTGTATTGCTCCTAGTATAATGACAGCCAGGAGAGCAAAAGCAGTACTGGTCATCTGGAGGTTAAACCTTAATTCCAAGCAATCCAAACTAATTCAGGAGATGGAAATTAGCCTAAAAGCAGGCACAGTGGCTCTTAGTAATGTTTTACGATGCCCAGGCTAAGAGTGAATTAGCTGCCACAGGCAAAATAACAAAGACCAACTGTTGCAGCTATGACCTAGAGTTAGATGCCCTTCTCTTTCATTCAGCTGAACTTTCATCAGTTATGGAAAATGAAAGGTTTCATTGTGTTTACATGTATTATCACATACATTTTTAAATAGGAATCAGGAAACACCTAATCCTGCATATATTACATTACACATTCAACAAACAGCAGGTTACAGAGATGGTGACTTTGGTACAGCAGACCCTAAATGAAAAATGCTTTTGGTCAGCATGGTGCCACATTAGTACTTTATTTAGAGGCAAGTTACTTACTCCTGCTCCTCATCTGAGGAGGATTCAGAGCTCTCCTTACCCCCGGTCACAGGTGACATCTCCATAGGGAAAGGGGACGAGCTGTCCGGTTAAATCTTTCTGGGATCAAGGGCGTGGGCTTTACCATGGCATCTGCCAGCTACAACTGCAAAAGCACCCAGTCACTGAATAGCTTAACACAGCTGAAATTAACGCCAGTCAACTCATGCAAGACATTATAATAATAACGCTTCAAACACTGCGGCTTACATTCGTGTTTTCCGATAGTTATTCACAATTAGCATACATCCGGCGTTAGCTGCGAACAGCTACCTTCTAGCTTTACCTAGCTTTACCTAGCTTTACCCTCAAACGAAGATGTTAAGAGTCTACCCAGACAAATACTCAGGCAAGCGTTAGCTAAATAACACTGAGGTGACTCACAAGTTACTTTAGATATGGGAAGCTAATTAGATAAAGTCAGTTTAGTTTGTGGATCACTTACGTAGACGTGTCTATACTGTCATGCACATACACACTTGTAAGACAGATAAACTTGTATTTTATTTCTATAGATCTAGCTAAGAGCTAGCTAACTAGCTGTATAACCAGGGCCACTTGATCCTCGCGGTTAATCTTCCTGTTACTACAACAACAGAGTAGCAACAAAGCAGAGAGCATGCGCACTCGCGAATGATACTTGTTCACCTGGTCACATTTTTTACTGCATCTTCTTATGATGATAATGTTTATTGGCGGTTTGCATCCATCTACAGTAACTGTTCTTAGTCTAAAATCGACATTTTCTCAAATAATTTATGCAGTTGCAGGATAATCTCGAACCTACGCATTAAATATAGGTCGGTTAGTGTCCACAGTGAATTAATTAATTAACCTACCATCCTAATTTCGTGACTCACAAAATGCAACTCCTCACTACCTCAAACACAGTGAATTGTCACATCACTGTGTTTAAATGAGAATATATGAGTAACAGAATTTGGTTTGAATTAAACTGCATTTAGAGACATAGCGCAATGTTGCTATACACATATTATTAAAATATAGGCTATTACTAAAACAAATGACTAATGTAAGCTCTTTGCTAAATTAAAATATTCAGGTTGCTGAATGTTATAGTAATTGGAATTACTTGTTTCGCTTTGTGATATTTTTAAATTTGATATTTTTTAGTGAAAAATGCAGTACACTGTCTATACAAAACTTTATTTAACTGGGATACAAACCTTGGCAGAGCAAGCTCTTGTTTCACATCTACTCTTTGTTGAGAGCAGCCTAGTCTACAGTCGATGGGTGACAGAATTGCTTGGTTTCTATTGGTTGGCGAAGAAAGGAGGCGAACGCTTAACACTTGAAAGGGCCAATCATATTAATGGCACGATTAGATGGAGTCATTCTTTGAGCCTTATTATTGGTTAATTCCACAAACAAAGAGTGGCTGATTTACCATGGCAGAAACTTGACCGTACACGTCTGGCTTGTGTCCCACTTTATTGAATTGTATCTTGTCCCCTTTTTTAATCACGTACATGTTCACAGTGTAGTTTGCTCTACGCCGTCAGGTAAATACAGGCGCTCTTCATACTATTTTGAACATAAGTGGTTCACTAATTGTAGTAATCAAGTTATAGCAACGCTAGCCTGCAGTGTCACATGAATTATTGATGTATATCACCTTGCTAGCTGCCTATGTCCGTGTGATGAGTGGCAACATAAAGCAGATGTTATTCTGTCTGTTACATAACCAGCCACTTGCGCTTTATTTATTGGCCTTCAGTTTGAAGTTGTTTAATCCTGCACTGAACAGGCTGACTTCTGTCTGATAGTTGCTTCTCACAGACATGAGTCGCTTTCTGAACGTCCTGCGGAGCTGGCTGCTTATGGTGTCCGTCATCGCGATGGGAAACACCGTGCAGAGTTTCAGAGATCACAGCTTCTTGTCAGAGAAGCTCTACACGGGCACACCAGAGTTTGGTGAGTAAACTATTAGTTTGTACTGACAAATTATAATGTACATTACAGCTCGATAACATCAAACACATCACCATATTTTTCACTCAATTGATCCTGATACTGTTGTATCAATTAGACAGTATATAGTATCAGTTGTAATGCAGCTCTTAAGACACATTTAAGATGTCAATTACACTATTAGAATAACCAAATCCCAACCAAATAGACTGTGATCTAATACTATAATCTAGGAAGAAATAACATAAAATGAAAATAAAATGTCTCCAGAACAGCTTCACTGTTCCTCTTTTGGAGGGAGGAAACGTTATTCTTCCAAAACACATTCCCTCATTGTGTTCACTACACTTATACTCATACTCATTATGCCATTATTAATTGTTAGAAAATTAACAAGCAGCTATTTGAACTAAAAACTACAGACATTTTCTGGTTACTTCTTTAATGTGAGGGATTGATGCTATTTTTTTTTTTTTTTTTTTTTTGGTCATACGTGATAATAAACTTAATATTTTTTACATATTGGTCTTTAATATTGTCCCAGCCAGATAACTGAGCAGGCTCTTATCAAAATTCTGTAAATAGAATGGAATATGCAGATGGATGTATCATGATATTATGTTAATTTCTTTCAACTCCTGCACTCCTTATTTTCCATTTCCTCCCATTTCCTTAGTGAATGGCCTCCAAGCTCGAACATTTGGTATTTGGACATTGCTGTCATCGATCATTCGCTGTGCCTGTGCCATTGATATCCAGAACAGAACGTAAGACAGTTTACTCCCTTCCTGCGGTTTGTTTCTGTTGCCACTACAGTCCACATATTTTGTTCTTACAGTGTGCTTGCTCCTGCAGGCTTTATCACATCACCTTATGGACATTTGTCCTGGCATTGGGACACTTTCTGTCAGAAGCGTTCATTTACAAAACTGCACCTCTGACTATCGGAGTAATGGCACCACTCATTGTCGCAAGTAAGTATGGATCTTGACATTATGACTTAAATAATAAAAATATGAAGTTTTGTAAAGCATCAAAACATGTCAGCTACTGGTAAATGTTTTACCTTTTCACAGTGGAATTAGAGGTTAATGTAGATCACACCTGTAGTGTGTCAGTAAAAAACATTAAAAAATGTTTAATCAAAGAATCCTAATAGCATCTCCATGTGTTTTTGAGGTTTCTCTGTCATAGGAATGCTCATTGGGTTCCAGTGTTTTCCAGAGACACAAGAAGAAGTCAGAGCACAGCAGAAGAAACGTAACTGAATTCCAGCAGTTTGAATGTCATTTATGGAACCTCACCACCACCACCACCCTCAGCCCTGATAACCATGGACTGGTCCCACTGTGCTGCTACTTGCCTTGAAGGACATGAGATATGGGTGGACATTCCTATTGTGACACTGTCTAAAGACCAGATAGATCTCTATCCTGATGTATTTAGTGGTTTTTAACTGGACATTTTGCAGTTGACAGTGCAGCGATTGTGCTGATTTGAAATGGCTTTGTTAATTTTGTAGGATCCTAAGAGTGATGACAACAAAACATGAGAAGTTCTAAGATGAAACTTGTCAGTGCTGTTTTTCTAAACCCTTTATACTGTGTGTGTGGTCATGACTGTGGTGTTGCTGAGTGAAATGACAACAGAAATAATCCAGAGCAGATTTCTTTGAGGATGTTCTTTTATTTCACAGGGCAACAAATTGCTATTCATTTTTTATGCATGAGTTACCAAAGAACTCAGATGACTACACAGTATAAAACTATTCTCTCACTGCAAAGGCATCAGCAATTGTTCTTGATTTTCTGTGCTGTGAAAACTTTGTTCACCTGTGGAATTTATACAGAATTATTGTCCTATAAAACCTTTGTAATGTTCATTTTTTGTTTATTACAGTAATAACAAACCTATATGTGTCTAAAAACCACAAATCAAAAAATAAGTTCAGACTTCTTGTTTCCAAGATTGTAATTGTGTTTTGTGCTTTGTTTTTGATAAACACCTTGTGCTAATCTATGTACTCTGTTCAATCCAAATCCGTTCTGGGATGGGAAATCGGAGTCAAACTTTTGAATGAGGAAAGTAGAATTGTGTGGTTAATGTGCTCATTTCCCTTTTTTGTCTTCATGTGAAAAATGTCAAAAAGTACACAAAGGCATAGCTTGGAATTTTCACAGTAAAAGCTCTGTTGTGTCTGCTCATAGATACATACTGTATATCTATAGTGTCTGCTGAGTAATTTAGCAGAATGTCCACTGACTGCAAGAACTCAGGGCATGATGGGAGACGCCTGGCTCTCACCTGATCTGAGAGCTGATTGGTTTAGATGCTGGATCAACAATGATGTTTTGTATAATTGCAGTGACTGTGATTTTATTAGTTGCTATTTGCACTAATTTTGTCATCAGGATAAATGTGTGGTTGATGATGTCTTATCAGTCAGAGAAGCTGAAAACAGTCAGCTTACGGCACATTACATATAGGCCTAGTTCTCATATACTGCAGACAGTTTGTGATAGTTCTGCTGGGTCACAGGAGAATTCAACAGCACCTGTCCACATTAAGACATGTTTTGGAGCAGATTTCTACAACAAAAATATTTGAAAACGTCATATACTGTAGCTTTAAATCCAAAATTTATACAAAGTCTCATTTCACCAAAACCCACTGATTGTGTCATACGTTAGAAACACTGACATTTGCTGTAAAATAATAATAATAATCCTATTAATTTGAATCATGTAAATCGAATTTTACAGAAACATTCATAGCACTGGAAAATGCCACTGAATTAATAACAAACAAAACAAACAATCATTAAACAGGAAAATCACCAGACAAGTAGCCACAACACATGTTGTTACAACATGGTGATGACACGCTGGATGAACACTGGTTACACAGCACAAACTGCATTTCTCACTAACAAATTTACAAGCTAAGGCTATTATACATAATATTTCTTGTGCAAAAAGACCAAGGGAAGAGACTAATTTGCCTTATCCCTCCTTCATGTTGCTTGTGCTGTGCTGACTTTTGTACTGTTGCAGATGCTCTTGCATATTAACTCAGATATTCATCTCCAAATGTTTTCTTTTAGCCATCAGTTCCAGTTAAACCAGAACAGAACTGGCCTCCCAAAGTCTACTCAGATGCACACAATCAATCCTGTTTGCAATCAGCAGTATTCAAAAGTGATACTTCCATGTGATCCTTAATGGCAGACAGAGAAATGAAAACCTTCTGAAGGTTATGGGTAACCTGAGTGCCATGACAAGAAAACACTTCACAGTCCTTAGTCTGTATTTAACATACATAATATATTCAAAAAACAAAAAACATCATGAAAGCCTTTAGTAGTGTAAAGACCAAGGCTCTATTTAAAAGAGCCTAAGAGAGGACTGCTCTGTATGATTAAGTCACCATGTGGTCAGGCTTTGCAGCAGTTTTTTTTTTACTTCATGGCCATATGTGCATGTTGATGAGTCAGCATTTTATCTGCCCATGGTGTCTTTGACAGAGAGGAGTTCCTTACAACTTGACCTCTTTTAGAATTTCAGGGGGAGAGATGTTTCCTTCCTGATCCACTGTCATTGTCTGTAAATAGTAAATAGAGCAATAGTAATTACATTGTCCAACAAGTGACTTGACATAGTTATAGGTTTTTGTAAATCAAAACACAAATTTTAAAACTCATCCGCATTCAGAGCTACAGCAAAACCAGAAAACTAAAATTATTCCATTCACTACTGAAAAGTCTCATTCACCTTTTGCATCAAACCAATTCATTTTATCTTCACAAAATGTTTTACATGAGGTTGAAATCCCAGGATGATTTAGTCCATAGTTTATTTTACGAGCTGATTCTTTATAAGAATAGGATGTACTGCCTCAAGTTCTGCTCAGTTTCAGTGACAGTTTTACAATGACAGTAGGTATGTAGGACTTTATTGATCCCGCAATGGGGAAATTCCTGTCTGTGCGTATGTGAAATGTTTCTCTTGCTTGCTGTGTGAGTGTGTTGGGTATAGTATTACTAGTTTTGTAGCTTCACAAAGTGTGTGCCCCTACCTTGGAAGGCTTGTGTTTTGGTTTTAGTGAGGTTTGGGGTTTATGTCAAGACTGCTGTTTGCAGGGGCCGCTGCATGCTGTGGCACCGTATTCTTGCACTGATGACACGGAGTCTGTAGGCTGTCACGATAGCTTGGGTGTCACACCTCTGAGGGGCCTGAGGGGTCACTTCAAGCTCCACTGTGTCCACCGCCACCACCACCACCACCACCACTACTACTACCATCACCAGTCTGCCTCCACCAGGCGCTGCACTCCCAACTAATACTGCCTGCTACCTGTGTTGTAGCCCAGCACTGACATTGAGCCTTTAGTGACAAGAACATGGTGTTCAGTTTAAAGTCATTTTACATTAAATAGTGCAAAATTTGCTATAACTTTAACAAATGTTTATGTAGAATTTTTTGGAATAATTAATTTTCTTACATTTATCTATTATAGCTAAATTTCATCAGCTATGTTAGCTACCTCACTGCTGGTCTTCTCATTTCTAACTAAGAAAAATTATTGGATCTTTCCATTTTGGTTGCATTTGTAATATTTGAACTGAACATTATGACCAGAAAAAGGCAGAGGAAAAACAGTAAAAGAGGTCTCAAGCTTTTCTTAATCAAAAAGGCAACGAGTGGGCAGCATAAGACAGTGTGGTGTAAAATTATGTTTTGAATTATGTTTATTGATAAGAATTCAAAGGCGATTTTGCACAGCTGGTGACTAATGTGAGTTTTTTTTTTAGTGATTTTTAATGTGGTATGCTAAATAAATTCTAATAAAACTGATTATTACAGATTACAGATGTCTGACAGCTGTCAACTGTACCCATATGAAAGTGTAACAAAGCATGCCTTTGCAAGCCTTAAAATGAAACCAGGGTTTTATGGCAAAAGTTCCTACACATGCTGTTTGTTAGAGTCAGCTGGAGAGACAAAAGCAGAGCTGTGCTTTCTGCAAACAATATTTGAAAGCAGAGGATGTTTTAAGTGTCAGTGAGTTCAGCAGTGTGACACCCGCGTTCACTCATGTGCATGCCTGTAGCAGTGCAATGTGAAAACCACAGTGAAGCAGCCAGGAGCGGAACATTCAGCATAGAGTGAGGGCTGCATCTAACACATTCCCCTTCCATGGGGATGTGAAGACACCACTTCTGATTTCATGTAGTGCACGAAGATGTACTTACATTCACTGGCTGCACCTTGGATTGTAGGTTGGCCTGCTGCCGTCGGAGCTCAGACTTGATGCATGCTGTGATGAACATGCAGGAAAGGGCTAAGTTTAATTTAAGTTATGGCTTTGGTGGATTTTGGTTTAAATGTACAGACAGATGCTCTACTCTGTGGACAAGAAAAACTGAAGAGTGTAGAAAGAGGTGTTCATTTATTTATCCACTTAAAATCAATCTCAGTGGGACAACACAAGGCATTTTAAAGCAGATGTCTGTGCAGTACCTACTGACCATGGAATATCTCAGATTTACCTCCACAACATTGCTTCAGTTTCAGGCTCTTTCAAATGAGATAAATCCATCATGCTAAACAGTAACAGTGGTTTTGTGCCACAACCTGGTGTCACTTTTGCAACTTTGAAGTGGAGATTGGATAAAGGATTTAAGTCGAGAATAGCGGAGAAAATAATAATAATCACAAGTAAGACAATTTAAAGTTACACCGTTAAAAAATAATTTTAAAAAGTATTACCTGAAAACAAAAAGTTTTTAGTTTTTCATTTCATACTTTTGATAAGTTGTAACTATTCATTTAGCCACTAGAGGGCAGCAGCATCCTGTGAAAGATATGACGGCAGGTTTTTGTATTGCAAACACAATACGCTGTAGGCCTGCAGTGGTTTAAACTAAAATACCACTAAAATATAACATGTAAAAAGTCCCAGACTTTAGTATTCTGTGTGTGCAAGTCCACATTTTGTGACATGGATTCTATGTTCACTGTATGTAGTGCTAACAGTCTGAGGAAACACAGGTAATATCTTACCTGTCATTACTGTTCCAATGAGCAGAAATGCACTTAGGAATAAGTTTCCTGCTAAAGTGCCCCATTTATCAATAATCCTTCCTTGGCCGAGGGTGAAGATGATTCCAAAGATCTGAAATACAAAACCAACATGATGTGTTTTACATTCCGTCTTACATGTTTATCAAGTGCCTCTACATGCTAACCATGCTAACATTACTTGACCTGAGCTGAACAGTTGAGCAGTCCAGATGAGGTTCCCTCTGATTCTGGATAAGTGAGCTCTACTCCAAACTCAAAGCCCAGAGGTAGATATCCTGTCATGAAAAAGCTGCAGACAGACAGAAACTGAAGGAATACTGTAGAACTACACAAACATTTAAGTAGGGCAAGTGTATTATTCTGTACAATACATCTTGTCTCGGTTTCAGAAATGAAAACCAAGCAAAGGAATTGCTATGGAAACAAAGTACAGACATAATCAGCTTACCATAAATAGCAATAATTGTAAGGACAAGCACATGGACTGGGGAGTCAGAGGAGCATTAATATTGTTTGGACAAAGCAGCAGCCATACCAGAAGAGGAAAAAGTAAAGAAACATGAACATACATAGGCCTTACATACAGTACAGCTTTACCAAAATGCTAAAGACATTATTAAACATTAGCTGTTAAGACCTGATTAAAATTAGTCTCAAGTGTCTTCAAAATAAACTTTATTTTAAGCCACCATTTGTATAAAGCACTCTAATCTTCATTTAATCTGCATTAAAGACACACTTTGCAACCACAACCTTTAGATTAATCAGATATTATCACTATGTTTATGTCTTAATAGACTATCAGCAGAATTCAAAGCTGTTTCAAAACATCCATGGTGTATCTATCAATCCTTCCTTCAGGATCTGAAATCTTGATGCTAGTATTGCTGAGTAGGCATAATGGTTCATTCTTACTTAACATTTCTAAAGTTGATAATAATGCAGAGACTTGAGGTGAGATTTGGCTGTGATCAGGCCTTGAATTTTTTTAAATCACAACTCAAAATGAAAAAAAAAAAGATTTTTAAGAAAACGGTACCAGCCAAAAAAGATTACTTTAAGTTAACAGTTACAATTAACTGTGGTCGGTTAAGCATATTTGCTTGGCACAGCCTCAGCCCTGTTAGGTGGTCTGTGCTTTCTCTGCCCTATAATGTTCTGGACATTCTCCAGTTGCCTGGATTTTCTCTCCAGCCCTGCCGTGCCAATCGGTGCTGACTCTGTCGCTCCACACCTGCAGCCAATTAACTCATCATGCCTCTACTGTATAAATGTTTGCTTCCTTTGTTTAGCTGTCAGATTATCTGCTGTGTGTAGCGTAGCTTTCATGCTGTTCATTACCTCAGTAATCTCGCTCACAGTGTACCCAGTGATCCTGTATTTTCTTCTGTTTGCCCTGTGTGTAGACCCTGTTTGGACTGATTAAACACCTCTGACTCCTGTTTGGACGTTTGTTGCCTTTCCCTCCTCTGCTCAGTTTCGTCAGCTTGGTTTCTCAGTAAGCATCTGTTTCCGCTTGTGTTCAAATAAACTGACATTCACCTGCCAGTCTTTTCATACACATCTGCATTTGGGCCATTTACCTCAGTAACTGTTTCATTAGTGAAACATGAGATTACTTGTCTGCAGAGGTGAAATGTAACTAAGTACAATTTTGAAGTATCTGTACTTTGAGTATTTTCCTTTTCTGCTACTTTATACTTCACTACATTTTACAGAAAATATTGTACTCTGTACTCACTACATTTATTTCATAACTTTAGTTACTAGTTAATTTTCAGACTGAGATTAATTAAACAGAATACAGTATAATCATAAGACTATTCATTGGTGGGAAATTCACAAGCTACCCAGCAGTACGTAAAGTACTTCAAAGTATAAGTATATAAAGTAGTTAATATTAGAGCTACATTTACCAGCTGCAACATTAAATGTGATACATGCAATAATACATGAATAATTATAGTCCAATAATATGATATACATTAATGTAAACTGTGCCATTCCGCATAATGAGTACTTTTAATTTTGGTACTTAAAGTATATTTGTACCTTTGTACTTTACTTAAGTAACTATTTGAATGCAGGACTTTCACTTGAAACAGAGTGGTATTGCTACTTTTACTTAAGTAAGGGATCTTAGTACTTCTTCCACCACTGCTTGTCTGAAAAAAAACTTGCATAGCAATTGCAAGTTAGCTTGTAACCTGAAAACATTAGCTGACATAATTAATTTTTACCCACATTTCTCTGGCTGTGTAGACCTCCAGCCCTGCCTGTGGTGTTTGTGACCATGATAGCTTGTGTTCATTAATAGTTACCTACCCTAAAACTCCAGCTGTGACAAACACCACCCACAGGTGACCCAAGCTGAGGGTGAAGGCATAGACCAGCATCCCAATCAGGGAGAGGAGATACACGACCAGGGTGGTCTGTCTGAGGAGGAGTAGCAATGATATAGTTTAATAAGCAACAATATTATGATCATATATACACACATACACAAAAAGATTACTGTAACTCTTAAGACCCCAAATCATCTTAGAAACCCACTTTAAACTGACAAAGATTTTCTGAACAAGGAACAAAGGCCACTGTGACTTTGTGTTCATTTAGTTCTT